CAGTGATTTTGCGTATCAAACGTTCGTTCGTAACGTTCAAGCGTTTTATCAAAAGCGACCTACTAATCTGCATTCGACTGACTACAAACATTGTTTTACTCTTCCTGTGTATTTTTCTGACTAGATTGCATTGTACTGAATCACAGTCCAGAATTATAACCGTCAGTCGTTATGATATCACCTCTTAGAAGTATAGTACACCTGAATATCATATCTGTTGCAATGGTCCATCCATTTTAATAGTTATTGGTACACAGATTGTTTGATATAGAATCTGAAATCGATATCAATGGCTACCTATAGATTGAATATCATCTTACAATACTACGTTATCTACACACAATCTTAGAAACTCAGATACGGCTATTACAAGCCATTCTAAGCGAACTCTCGAGACACTTGAATTTGAATGATTTTGAAAGTCTATTGGAGAGGCCGTACGAAGATCGTGTCATAACTGCAATAGATGCTGAGAGTTTAGAAACACATTGATTGCTTTTTCTGATTGCACTTTCATTATATTTTAAGTGTAGGAGAGCCATGCTTCGGCACAAATGGGCCGGTAACGCACTTGTAACGCCTCTGGTGTTCTAGGTGTCCATGAGCGACGCCGATTGCTTATCATCAGGTGATCCGTCTGCTCGTTTACCGGCTTATGCTATGAAAAAAAAATGCAAATTTTTAATTTGAGAATACTCGTCTAATAGATGTCTCTCTTTTCGTTTTAAGGCGCCATGTTTTCATAAATCATCATTGGTATTTACGATTCCTAAAGTATAAAGAGATACGCCATTAAGGTCCCATTTTATAGTGCTCTGAATGTTTATATCTTGAAGAGCCAAGTGTTGTCCTTAGTTCCATGTGGTTCTTCTATTCTACCGTCACTATTTAGTATCACTGTATGACTATAATATTAGATTCTTACAAGCATATGTACGTTACATACACCTAGCAAAACACATGTGACTTGTAATCTGAACGTATAATTATGACCAGAACACGTGTCAATAAGAAACCATGCAAATCAACATACACAATTAGATAAAAATAAACTTATCCACTATAAGTACTAGAATACAAATGGTTCAGACCATATGTAAACGTATAATGACCATATTGTAACAATACATGCGTATAATTGAATATTTAAGGATTATGTACTGTATAATTTAAGTTCGTATAAGTATAAGCCATTAAATAATTATTGAAACATGTTTCCGCATTATACAGGCTGTTTCGCGCAGGTGACATCAGAGTAAACAAAACGGTTGTGCGCTGCGGTCGGTTTGTGCCGCAGCGCTTGGTGCAAGGTATTGGTGACAGCGGTTTAAATAATTCCATGATACTTTTTGTATTACTTTTTGTAACTCAAAATTAAAGGAGCGCTTGTAGACAGAATCTGGCTGGTGATGATCGTGATGCCAGATCACTAATCTGGTATTGAATAGGTATACGAAACTTTGGCTCTAAAAAATAATTATTCCTTTTTAAAAGGCCGGCAACGCACCTGTGACTTTTCTGGTGTTGGGACTCCTCGGGTGTCCATGGGCGGCACTGACCGCTTACCATCAGGTGATTCGTCTGTTCGGTTGCCTCCTATTCCATAAATAAAATAATAATAATGTGCCACCGTTTGTAATATTATTGTTGACCACCATTATTTTCAAGTATTAACTTACTAGAGCCAATATATGACCATAAATAGAACCCGATTAAGAGAGCAATTGACTTGTACCATAAGTATAGAATAATGAAAGAGCGCCTCAAAAGGAACTGTTAGAAACTGGTTATTGAAACTAAAAACGTTGATTTATAAGTACCTCGAATAGTAATAAACTAATCAATTAACTACGCACCTACAGTTAACGTGTTTTGCATGACAAATTACTTAAGACTGTGTACTGACACAGATGAATTGGAAACATTGGCTAAATTCGGTTGACCTCTTTATTCAAACACTTCGGTAATCTCATAAATGGCGATTATGATGCAAAGAATGTAATGTTGACATAAGACTTGATGTTTTTAACACCAACTATCGATTTGTCTTTTAACTTTTATCTCATCGTGCCAAAAATATCTCTTGTCCTATATTTTGTGTCGTAGGCGCTTCATAGACACTAGACTAGGACAATAATGTTGCAAGATATGCTTTGACTTATAAGGAGTATTTATTACTAAAACGAAACACCTACGTCTAGACGCGCCTAGTTTTCAAAACGACACTGCATCCACGACCTATACCTATCCTAGATTTTGAGCAATATCAATTTCGCATTCGTCCTTGTTAAGCTTAGTTTAGCATATTCACAAACATTTGATAATTTGTTTGACAAACATTGATGACTCCGTTTGCTCAAGTTGTTATACCGGCAACAGAATTACCTAACTCTTATACGGTCGCTGTGAAGTGCTAGGAAAAACATTAATTCAAAACTATGTCGTTCTCATTATGCCATTTTTATCAGTTTTTATAAGAACTGGGATTTTAGGTTGAATTAGATGTATGAACGTCGTAAAATCTGCAAACAGATATCGTAATGTGATGACGGTGGTGTGCTATAAAGGCACTTGGCAATTTCTTTTAAACTATACGGAAATTCTTAAGAAGATCATCTATTCATCGAGAAACGTCGACTTTTCTCATAGAACTATATAAACAATACAAACAATACTAGTGAAAGGGAAAGCTTAGTATCGCTAAGTATAGATCACTTCGATAAATAGCACTTCCTAAGGAAGATAGACTATCGTGACTCGGACTGGTAGCTTTCTAAAACTTTTTTCGTATAAATTTTACTGGAAACGTAAAAAATAATAGCAACAAAATAAATATAAATAGCAACAAAGCCCCTTTTGCATTCGAATCTCGTCGACATGAGAGTAACTAACCCATTTAGGTTCCCACATGACAATGCGTGGTCCTAAATAGGTGTCATGACGCAATAAGAAGACCTATCTAGCACAGAAAGAAACAATACCACTTACTGCACGCCAATCTTAATTTATGCAACTCTCGTTTCACGTATTGATAATGGTTCAAGATTCTAGATCTTTGAGAACACAAAAATAGATTTTGCAATGGAGATATTTCAGATTATTTCCGAGGAAAGCAAGAAAGGATGAAATCTGCAACCGGTACGGTAATGCAAGACAATGGTACACGAAAGGAAATTGTTAAGCCGCCTGAGATATTTAGCCGGTCCATTGTCTCAGCTGCTTACCGAATACCGCCTTAGAAATCGTCTCACCTGTAATGTAAAGTCCGTTTTCCAAGTTTTATCTCACGATTATCAGCACATGTGATTAGACGCATCACTGCTTACTTTCTCTCTTTGTTACGCCTCATCCTCAGTTATCTGATTGACTGAACTGTTATTTGTCACGTCAAGTGTTTTTTTCTATAAATTATATAATTGTTAAGCTATTAGTTTTATTGTTGGAGCGTCTCACGAGATCTGTATTGCAGTCACGCGCTTGTCGCGGCAGACGCGGCGACGCCCCGACGTACGAACCGCAAAACATGTGTAACAATGGCTATTAATACTTACCTATATGTAATTGAATGCTCTCTTTGGTTTAGTCATGAATAGATTGACTGCTGAGTGTTGATTACATTGTTTTGAGTTTGGTTCCTGTGCTCGGTAAAGGTATTGTTACAATCACACGGAAGATTTATGGCTTTAGGGTCAAATATTGTCAGTTAGTACATTTTTAAACGGTGTAAAGTCAAAAGGAAATTGAGCTCACCTTACCCGGCTTCCAATGAATTAATAAGCAAATCGTGGCGGTAATCATACTTTCGATTTCTGTTTTACAAACATTGGTACACTGGCCAACTTTGTACTCGTAATGAATAAGTTATTACTCTTGATTGTTTACTGCTGACACAGTTATAATATTCTTACAATGTCCCTCTGTATCGGATTTTTATTCGCTATCATCATCCTTGAAAATAAGGCTTACTATAATGCCCACTCTTGGTAGACAATTCTGGGTCAAAGTCAAAGCATTTATTTCAATCAATCCTTAATTCTGCACTTTTCAAACTAGGCTTAAAACGGGGATCAATTTAAGGCGATGCTACGTCTGTCTTTTGGTAGCTAGTCCTAATTTTAAGACATGTCGAGATGACCGACTTTTCCATAAACACCATAAAGATTGAGAAAGAAGTTTTGTGTCCTTATGGTTGTGCAAAATCTTGTCTAAAGTCAATACTAAACCAATACTGTTTATCAAATAGAAAATTTCATAATTCAATTCAAGCGTACTTCAGATGATTGACAAATGACGCCAGTTGTAGTGTCCCAACATTAAGTTTTACAAGAGCACTTGTGACTCTTGTCAGCGAAGAGTTTAGAAAGTGAATTTCGTGGTCACGCTCTGTGACCGTGGGAACTTGATATCTAATGCTTGTCCATAGGTTTTTATTAACTAATTAATGTGACCATCGTACCGTATGTTAATATATCCGGGGTTCTAAAAGACAGCTGTACTTGCATCTGGTTGGGAGTCGTCCTTTTATGTGGTTGCGTTGTTGATTTTGTTTATTGCGTACTCAACTACGTATATGAGTTTGATGATGACATTGCTTATAAATTCATATGTAAACGGCGAAAATATATTGTGTATAATTACGAATTAAGATACTTAATCTAAAGTACCTACCTTGTGCGAATAATAATACGAAACTTAATAAAGAAATGAACCCCTAACCTAACTTAATTGATAATGTCAATAATATTTAACGTAATCTTGTTTTCACAGTTTGTGATCTAAAACCCATGTCATCAATTGACCTTAGCGCCTTTTATAGATTAATTAGCGTTGGAGGTTACTTCTCTTCCGGTTATAATTTGGTATCGAAAACCCCTGTTTCATTACTGACAACGTTTCGGTTATACGATCGGATTTACTACGGACTTTATAATTAAAGTAATTCCCAAAGAAAGAAAATAAGTAATAGTAATATAAAATCTAACATTAACTATCTGTTTCAGACTGGCTCCGGCAAAACCTATACTATGGGCAGTGGCTGGGAAGGCGAGGGGGATGGTGACGAAGAGCGTCGTGGGATCATCCCCCGAGCCATCAGAGACTTGTTTGCCGGCGCAGAGGCAAGGGCGGACGAAGCACGCGCGCAGGGACAGTTACCACCAGAGTTCTCCGTTCAGGCACAGTTCATTGAGCTCTACAATGAAGACATCGTCGACCTTCTAGATCCTGCTAAAGATCCTTTTGCTAAGGTTAGTATAACTACGTCTAAATGAGATTTAAAACAAAACTAAATGGTTAAAAACTCCAAATTGGCACCTCATTTCTTACCGTCGATTAATTTTACTGATTCTGGACACGACATACACAATCTTGACATAGATAGATACGTAGGTACCTAGGTACACACTTTCTTATTAGGCTTACTGAAATACCTTCCAATTTTAGGCGGAAACCTGCTTGTAAGTACAGAACTTCATATAAGCAACATATCATTCGAATAGAAGAAAAAAGAAAAGAAAAGAAAATTCGCTTATTTGCACACCGTCACAAAGTACTTACAATAACACAAAAAAAACAATACAGTGAAGACGGCGCAAAAAGGCCAGAGCTCAGCTTAAATGCCGTGACCCGAGTGCGCTCGAGTCGCGGCGCTGATTTTCAGCAATAGCTGGTAGCGCTTGTCAAACATTAACAACTACAAGACCGAATCAACGTTTTTGCGTAACAGAGAACAGAGGGCTTAGTACTACTTAGTTTTATGTTAAAAGTAATCGAAACGAGAACGCGTTCGGCGCTTTGATTGGTTGGTTCATTGGCACCGGCCAATCACAGCGCCGAACGCGTACTCGTTACGATTACTTTAAACGTAAAAGAAACTCGTACTAAGGCCTCAGATATGTAAAGTAAACAAGCCTTAACTTTATAATTTCAATGCGTATTAACATGACAAACACTTGTAAACCATAAAAGTTTAACCACAATATTTACCAACCGGTTTCTGATTTATTGCTAAGATGTGTGAAGTACTTATATGTCAAAAACGATGGCCCCATACCGAAGTGCCATCTATTGCGGAAGAATACAGTGGTTTATGCAAAAAATACAGTAACGCTTTATTTGTTTGGATTATTGGTAGCATTGAGCTGTCTTAATATTAGCATTTTGAGTTTTTACGTGTAACAATGTATGCAGTATAATTAATTAATTAATTCATTTAAAATTACATGAACTAGAGTTTTCGTGATTTGGCCGCGATATCGACTATCGCATTCGATTTCCGAAAAATCTTACGGCATCTGATAATTCTAATAGAGCAGCGCTAGTATATTAAATTATGTCATTAAAAGTCGTTACCAAGAACTGAATTATTAATTAAACAAACCGTTTATTTTAACATATTGATGCGATATTTAACAAAGTTTTGTGTTAAAAAATATGACCGCAAATTTATTATCTTTGTAACGATTATACGATCCATCATGGTTTAAGCTGCATACTTATAGAGTCAAAGGCACGTCAAATCATCATAGCTTCTTTATTGGAAGTCATAATCAAAGCATTTATTTCAATTAAACCATAGTTTGGTACTTTTGAAACGGCAACAAATACAAAATGAATAATAGTCTGGCAGTCTGTCCGTCAGTGAAGCTAGGTGCTTCATTGCTGAACATAAATATGATTCCTAAATAGGAATGCACAAAAGCAGTGTGCATGATCATAATGATTTATTAATTTTAACAGTTAATACAAGTGAAACTCTAGTACAGTACTAGTCTAGAAATATGTACATTATTTAAATTTTTATAAGGACATTGAATGTAATTATAGACACAACTGTTACTATACTGAATTAATAATGTTTTTATTCCGGTTATGACAGTTGTGCGTATTGACATAGACTAAAACGGTCTTGTTTGAAGACCTTTTCAAGGACGCGTCTGAGTAAACGTTTTGGAATAATATTTACTCAAAATATTTCATACAATATAATGTTTAGACGAGGAAAAACCCTTACTTCCGAATGAGGTGTCTTTGAGAACTTCTTGAGTTAGATAGGGACAGCCCCAGTAATTGTACTCTGATCATTACACATCATAATTGACAGTGACTAGCGTATGTCAAAAGCAGGGGCCTTAGAGCAGGCTCCAAAGAAACCAACCAATCAGAGGCCAGAAATGAAACCGCGTTCGGCGGTCTGGTTGGCCGGCTTCAATGAACCAACCAATCAGAGCTCCGAAAGCGGTCTCGTTTCTATTACTTCAAACGTAAAACAAACTCATACTATCAAATACATATTGAACAAAAACCTCAAAAATAAATCTTTTTCGATTTTTAATAACATGTTCAAAAATAATGACACTTTCATTCGTTCTTTTGACGATAGACTAAATTTTCTTATTTTTCAAGCATTATTTGAAGTATGTTTGTTAATAATCTCAATTAATAGTACAAAATTCATAGAAAACGATTGTTCATAAAAACAATACGCAACGATTCCCAATCGGGTAAAAAGTATTTAATTTGACTACTTGGAAATTATCTTACTAAAAATAAGGTACATTTTTAGTTAGATAATTTAATTATAGTAAATTTTAAATGTGTTTTCGATCTAATTGTGTCCGTGGACTCTGAATCATAAAATACTTAATTTTTATTTGGAAAACTATTTAGATTCCAGTTTTCGATATAAAATTATAATAATAATACTAAGATTTGCTTTCCAGCGTTTCGTAGTCAATTCAACGCTTAACTAAAACATAATTCGGTAAATTGTTAATCTTATTGTTACGGTTGTAATCTTTTATAGGATTAATAATAATTTGTCGTGGTCGACGGTGTCTGTAGTTAAATCGTTTAAATTATAGAAACAATAAAGAATTGAGTGTTAAAATGGATGTACTGAAAATAGGCTCACAAGTAACAAATTTAATATGTACACATTGTCTATCTTTGTTTCTTTTTTTTTTATACCAAAACCGGTAAACGAGCAGACGGATCACTTGATGGTAAGCAATCGGCGCCGCCCATGGACACCCGAAACACCAAGGCGTTACAAGTGCGTTACCAGCCTTTTGGGAAATTGGAATTTGAGGATTGTGGAGGATTCGGGGATTCGGTGGATGGGACGGGAGGGGGGTAATTGGGCCTCTAGTAACCTCACTCATACGACGAAATACAACGTAAGGGTTATTAACTTAGTTATTAAGTACTTAATACATTCAAAGAAGTCCGTAAATAACTTCACCCGAACCACTGTCTTGTAAGCAGTCGTGCGACAAATCATTACCTCGCAGTATTAATAAAGGTAATCTAATTGTTTCCCTGAAGAGCACGGAGCCAGTGAAGCGTGCAAGCATGGTATCGTGGTATCTTTCATACCCGCATGTGTCGGCACGTGTTCCTTATCTCGATATAATAGAAAGTACGGAAAATGCTATATTTATCTAGAATTCGATATTTCCGTGAATCTATTCATGTTTTACGGTTTAATTTTCTTGTGTGACGTGGATCAGGTATACCTGTTGAGATAAGGGAGATTCATTCTTTATGTGTGTTTGTGTTTCTACTTGAAAATGTATATAAGTCGAATTCTATTTATTACTGAATGTGGAAATGAGAGCCCTGAGAAGTATATGTGAACTAAAATTAAGTGATCGAGTGAAAAATAGTGTTATTTGAGAAAGGTGTGGATTGAAAGATGATGTAGTGACAAGGATTGAAAAGGAAATGTTACGCTGGTTTGGACATGTAGAAAGGATGGATGAAAGTAGAGTAATGAAAGAAGTACACAGAGCGGATATGAATAAGGCCGTCGGTAGGGCCCCCTAGACAGACATATACTGACCAGATTGGCAATATATTAAAGAAGGGCTAAATTAACCGACGAGCATGCATGAAAAGATTGATGACTGTTGATGAAGCGAAAGAGGTATGTAGGAATCGTATCTTTTAATTGGCGTTCCATAGTCTCTGCCTACCCCCATGGGAGACAGGTATGAAGTTATATATGTATGTCTATTCATAGAGTAATATTTCCATCCGTAGTATGTTTCTGTTCTCATGTACAAGTTATAAGTGTCGGAAGACTTGACTTAATAATGATATAACCTAAATAGTCACATAATTGCAAATCTACCTACACTACCCTCAATCGTTTGTCTTCAATTACACATCTGCACATCAACAGTCGTAGTTATTCATATATTTTAACTGTAATTTGTTGTAGGGCGCACTCAGGATAACAGAAGATGGTTGCGGTGGCGTTCGCATAGTAGGGGCTTCGATGCGAGCGGTGAGAGGTGCTCAAGAGGCATTGGGGGCATTACGAGCAGGTGCCCTCGCCAGGACCACGGCAGCTACCAACATGAACTCCTCATCCTCACGATCACATGCAGTATTCACTCTCTTACTCCGACAAAGGAGACTCGCACCAGACCAGGATACGTCGGTAGATAGAGAAGCAGACTCCGAAGCACCCGAACAATACGAGACACTCACTGCGAAGTTCCATTTTGTTGATTTAGCTGGATCCGAAAGATTAAAACGAACAGGTAAGACCTTTTGATACATTTACAAACTTCTTAGTTCATGTCTTCATATCACATAACATAACACCACGCCTTTTATCTTCGAAGGGGTAGGTAGAGGTGCATATTATGCCACTGTACAATGTTTTTCACTATTTATGTTATGAGTCCCATGTAATAGAGGGTGAGCCTATTGCCATATACCGGGCACAGTTCCAGACTCCGTGCTACTACTGAGAATTAAAAAAAAAACCAATAGTACTTTGCCCGGCCCGGGAATCGAACCCGAGACCCCTTGCCCGGCAGTCGCAATTGCGACCACTCGGCCAACGAGATCACACAACTAATGAATACTTTTTTCAACAGGTGCAACAGGTGAACGAGCAAAAGAAGGTATATCAATAAACTGCGGGCTCCTAGCTCTTGGCAATGTGATATCAGCTCTTGGAGATCGTTCTAGAAAAGTACTGCACGTTCCGTACAGGGACTCGAAACTAACGAGGTTACTCCAGGATTCATTAGGGGGGAACAGTAATACAGTCATGATAGCCTGTGTGTCTCCGAGTGATAGGGATTTCATGGAGACGTTGAATACACTGAAATACGCGAACAGGGCGAGGAATATCAAGAACAGATGTGTGGTGAACCAGGACCTGACGTCGAGGACTATACACCAGTTGAGGCAGGAGGTGGCCAGGCTACAGCTCGAGCTTGCTGAATATAAACAGGTACATATTTCTTTGTCTACACTAGTGACTGCATAGTTTCGTTCTTGTTTCGGTTATTTACTCTACGATTACATCCAGAACCTTTTATTCGTAAAGTGTAACTTTACATAGCATATCATCACGCCTTTTTATCCCCGAAGGGGTAGGCAAAGGTGCACATTAGGGCACTTAATGCCACTGTACAATGTAACACCCACTTTTTATGTTGTGAATCCCGTGTAATAGGGGGTGAGTCTATTGCCATATACTGAACACGATTCCGGAGTCCGTGCTACATCTGAGATTTTTTTAAAAAGCCCAGTAATACTTTGCCCGACCCGGGAATGGAGCCCGAGACCCCTTGCGTGGCAGTCGCACTTCCGACCACTCGGCAACGAGGCAGTCCGAAGTGTAATTTTGTAATTCAAATATTGTCTTTATTCAACAACAACTTGTTCTTGATACCAAAAGGAACGTATTTCTCAATGTCCCCAGGGTAAACGCGTGATATCAGAAAACGGCGAGGAGGGCTGGAGCGACGTAGTCCAAGAAAATGCAATACTCACCGGTGAGGTGGAGTCTCTGAGACGGAGAGTGAAGGCCATGCAGGGTACTATCGAGCAGCTGTCGGCCAGGAACAGTGAGCTCGTTGCTGAGAAGGCGCTCGGGAACTGGGGACCTAAAGATGGCAGCCCTGATACTAATGACTGCTCACTGACTGCACTTGTACAAGTAAGGATGTGAATTAGTTATTTATTATAGTTTTTTTTTGCCCCACACTAGGATTTTATCCTGTGTCGTGGGTGCGTTTACAAACATACAAGTTCACATACACATGACACCCAGACCAGACCAGACCCGAAACAACAATTTGTGGATCACACAAAGTGTTGTTCCGAAGGGGAATCGAACCCGCGACACGTTGCACGGCAGCCTGTCTGCTAGAAGTTATAGATTTTAAAAAATTCTAGTAACACGAATACAAGATGATCGCCATGTTAAGGTTAGTAAGCATGGTAAACGACGGCGCTACACCTCTGTGAGACCTTAAATAAAATAGCTTTTACACTGCAAACTACGAAGATAAAGTTTATTTTTAGTTATTTTTTGCACATTATGAGACTTTCTTCTCTCCACTTCCTAGGGCTACGTAAGCGAAATAGAAGACCTTCGAGCTCAACTGTTGGAGTCCAACGCGATGTACGAGGCGAGTCGCAAGCGCGAGGCGACGGTCGCTCGTACCAGACACGACTCCGTCCAGGATCCGTCACTCATCATCGATGATGCTAAGCGGGAACTGTATAAGGTATGCCATCTATCATGTAGAGACCACCCTATAATTTTCAATCTGAGAGTCCAATTCGAGACGTTAATTAAGTTACGATAGACAAGACTTAAGTGTGCCTCTTAACATTTAATTTAATCATTATTACCCGGATCGAGTACAATATTGTTGGGGTTCGCTGAGCCTGGAATTGGACACATATAGCGATACAGGAACATCCCTTATTATAACTAATAAAAAGTGAATGTGACAATATTATATGTGCACATTGTTCACCTCTGTCTACCCACTTTTAGAAATTATAAGACTTATAGCTTGCTACGTCCCGGCTTCGCATGGGTGCAATACGCTTGTATCATACATATAAACCTTCCTTAAAAACCACTCTAACTATTAAAAAAAACCGCATCAAAATCCGTTGCGTAGTTTTAAATATCTAAGCATACATAGGGACAGACAGACGGCGGATAGCGACTTTGTTTTATACTATATTTAAACTTAATCTTTTGTCCATTTTTGTAGGAGAAAGAGTTACTGGCGCGTAGTATGGGCGAGTTAGAATTCCAGCGCAAACTGAATATGAGCGAGAGCATGACGAGTGCGGTCGACGACAGGCCTATAGGAGAGAGGGAGAGGGCCGAGGGAGAGAGTGCAGAGGACTCTGAACCTTCGGACGGCGACGGAGAAGCCAGCGACTCTGAGGAAGAGGATTCTGAAGTTAAAGGTACGAATATTTTAAATTGCTTGACAAATTTGTTTAAAAAGCTACTGTTGACACTTTTCTTGCATCTCTTGTTTCACTTCATTTATCAGTCTCACGAAAGTTCTGGTATAAAAAGTGAATAGCTTGCTTATAGGCGTGCACCATCTTGGACGCTTTCGTAAATCGAAGAAAAGTCAAACCCTCTTATACCTTTAATTAATGTTTATAATTTTTTAAATGACTTCCATACTAACCTCTTGAAAACATACCTACATATTTTTTTATGGCAAACGAGCCGGTAAACGAGCAGACGGATCTCCTAATGGTAAGCAATCGGCATCGCCCATGGACACCTGGAACACCAGAGGAGGTTACAAGTGCGTTACCGGCCTTTTGGGTATTAGGAGTTTGAGGATAGTTGGGGATTCAGGAATTGGGGAGATTGGGGAAGGGGAGGGTAATTGCGCCTCCGGTAACCTCACTCACACGACATAATAAACCTTTTTAGTCCCACACGAGCCATTAGCCACAAAAATCCATATAACCTTTACATCCTCAGGTCAGCGCGTCCTCTCCGCCCAGTTAGCGGCGCTGAGCGAGGACATAGACACCAAGGCGCGACTCATAGAACAACTGGAACTGTCGCAGCGACGACTGGCGGCACTCAGGACGCACTACGAGCAACGACTGGATACACTACACCATCAGATTAAAGCTACCAATGATGAAAAGGATAAAGTGCTCGCGTCACTTGGTGCGTTCAAATAAAGAATCAAACTATTTACCATCGACATATACTAATGTACATGCCTTAGAGATTGTGGCACTCCGAAAGAAAGAGAGGAAACGAAGTTTCGGTCTATCTTTATCTCTCTCAAAATAGTACTGTAGTTTTTTAACTACGGTACTAGCGTCTAACGTCTTCGTCATGAGCGAGAAAGAGATTGCACTAAACCGAAAGCATAGGCTATCTTTCTCACTCATCAAAAAATTACTGTAGAATATACGCGGAATATACGGCATGTCCATTAGTATATGTCGATTCTATTTACATTTGTTTTTGCATTTCGTGCAGATCGTACTTTTAACTGTGTAAGATAAAAAAATAGGGTTAAGTTAGATAAAAAGAAGTTCGTTTATGTTGAAATCTTGCTAAAACTATAAAACGGCTGGACCGATTTGGCTAATTTTGATCTTAAAATGTTCGTGGAAGTCTAGAGAAGGTTTAATTGGTGCGAGTTTTTTAGGCTATACGAAGTTTGCCATGTCAGCTAGTTTTAGAATATTTCGACATCAGTTTATTAAACGACCTAGTGTAGCTGACGAAGAATTTTACAGTACTTCTCCTTTAAAATGTTTCCTATCCAATATAATACGTATACATATTCCAGCAAGCCAAGCGTCCCCTCCCAGCGAGAAGCTGAAGCGAGTGAAGGAAGAGTACGAGCGCCGCGTGGGCAGCATGTCGCGCGAGCTGAAGCGCCTGCAGGCCGCCGCGCGCGAGCACACGCGCCTGCAGCGCTCGCAGCAACACGCCGCCCTGCAGCTCGCCGCGCTGCGGACCGACCTCGCCGCCATGAAGAGGGACAAGGTACGTCGCAGACATACATCTCCCACGAGGAGGCAGACACTACGGAACGCCTAGTCTTTTTTTTCTTTTATAAACTTATCTCCACACTATTACAAACATACAAGTTCATATACACATGACACACAGACCCGGAACAACAACCTGTGGATCACACAAATCAGATCCGTGCGGGAATCGAACCCGCGGCACGTTACGCGGTAGCGCCAACCGTGCAGTCAAAATGGCTGCTTAACCTTTTCATGCCTCTTTCGCTTTATCAACAGTCATCTGCCTCTTTAGTTATATCTACGTCATGTTAGAGACATAGTATATTCGCTAACTAAGACTTCCCTTTAGTTGCCATGATATACAAAAAATGTATAGTTGCATTCCACGGTTACCCACTATGATGATTTACGTTCACCCTTGTTTGGTCGAACAACGTTTCGTCGAAAATCACTTTATCGAATTTTAGTTGCAATAAGGTCATCTGGTAGAATTATTCCTTTGAGCGAATAATTCATTAGTACATTTTTATTTAGCATAATTATTTATTTAACTATTTTCTAGTTCAAAATATACCATCTGAACATTACATCAAATGGACATTATACCTTTTGATCATTACCGCGAATGTTGTTACATATAGCATATAAATATTCGATGAACTGAAAATTCTGTCCAACGATATTATACTAAGTGATGATTTTCTTAAACGTTGTTCGATTTAGTAATATTATATAAAACGTTAATGCGGTGATTCCGCAAGGGCGTCCCGGGCCACGGCCACAGGTAAAGGAGGAACACCGCGGTGGTTTTAGCCGGTAAGAGTCCGGCACACCCCCGTCGCCCTCACGACGCGACGTGGAAAGTCCATGAGGATTTCCATCGCGTTACAAAAAAAATATATCAAACGTTGTTCGATCAAACAAGGGTGAACCGATGATTTATTTAGTTTGTCTAATGACCATGGGAGTCTTTAATTAACCTACTCATTTTTTTCTAAGTACCTTGTCGAATGACTATGAGGAAGTAACGTTGCAGTTTGTTAGTATTTTAACTCGTCGAGTACCGGTTTTGTAGACACAATTATAGAACAATAGGTTGCGATCACCGGTGACCGCTTGGTGTTTGACAGTTTACTAAGCGTTAGTTAAAAAAGTGTTAAAGGAAAGATACATGTACTTATACTTATTTCTATTTCCCAGGTGAAACTAGTACAACGTATGCGCGAAGAAGCCAAGCGACACGCGCAAGCTGAAGCAGCTCGAGCTAAAGAGGTCTGTACCTTAATCACATTTAGGTTCTAAATTACATTTATAAAAAAATATGTTATCATAACCTTCAATAGTACTCGTTATTTATGATCGTAACTTATGATAAATGTGTTGTTTGCAGGTAGCACAACTGCGCAAAGAATCTCGTAAGAACGCCAACTTGATCCGATCATTGGAAGCTGAGACCAAGATGAAGGAAGCGGTAAGTTTTAATTTCTATTAAAATATGTATTAAGTTCTAAAAATAGGCATTAAAGTAATATTCATCCATGAAAATAATTCTGTTCTCTAATGTCCATGTTAATTATGTAGGTGTTACGTCGTAAACAAGAAGAGGTATCATTATTAAGGAAAGGACATCGTGACAAGCTCAGCAGTCGAGCGGCGGGCAGGTTGCATGGTAAGTGACTTTTTTGCTCATATTTTTTTATCTCACGTCACAGCCCAGACACTAGAGTGCCACTTAGGAAACTCTTTACATTTTATCTATTATTGCATAAATACACGCAGATTAAAAGTATTGTGAGCTTATTAACTTGTTCTGAGTAACTAACTTAAATCGTACAATAGTCGTGAGTACAAAATAGCATGTGTAATCCAAATGTATTCTTTACCATTGATGAATATATAGTACGTGTATCCGTGTGTGCAGAGCGCGCCCAGGCCCGCAAGAGCAAGGGCTGCCGCGAGGCGTGGGCCCGGCTGGAGTGCTGGGTGTCGCGCGCCGTGGCCGCGCGCGTTACGCTGGGCGAGCTGGAGGCCGCCATGGAGCGCCTGCTGGCGCAGCGCGAGCGCGCGAGGGACGCCAGCGACCCCGACACGCTGCATCTACTGCGCTACCTGCGGGACGCCATCGCCGACACGCAGGCGCAGATCATGCAGATTGAGGTACGTATTGCTTTCACTAATAACTATTTCTAGATGATTATTGAAGTTTTAGTACATATATTTTATAGCAAATTCCAATTTTTTAATGTCACTGTACAAAAGTATAATCTTTTTATTTGTTTTATCATTACTCAAGACATTCATAACAATTGGTCCCAAATGGGAACCTTGCAGAACTCCAAATATCAAGGCGCATGAGGCATATATGATAAAAACTATTGATGACAACTTTCTGTCCTCGAGATCAGAATGAAAACCGATTGAATATTCGTGGATGACTTGATTTAAGTACTTAATGTAGAAACATTGCTTTTATATTTTCGCGGGGTATTAAACGAAAGGCTGTAGTAGAAGTATCCTATGATACTCGATTCGATGTCGGCGGCACCCGATTTTATTGTAGGTTCACTATAAAAATATCCTACTAATATTATGAATACGAAAGTTTGTAACTTTGTGTACTTGTTTGTTACTTGATCACGTCAAAACGGTTAAGGGGCTAGGCATGAAATTTGGAACAGAGGTAGATTATCGTCCGGAATAACACATAAAGCTACTTTTAGTCTATCGGGAACGCTCGCGTAGTCGCTGGCAATAGCTAGCATTACATGATTATGTTATCCTGGATTCCCAGGAGGAGAACGACGAGAACCAGTTACCAGTGGTGCTGGAGCAGGTGTGCAGCGCGGAGGCGGGCCGCTACTCGCTGGCGCGCCTGGCCGCGCTCACGCTGCAGCACGCGCAGGACGCCGCGCGGCACCACAAGCTGCTGCACGACACCAGGGCGCAGCTCGCGGAGGTACGTCGCACTCACCGCTCTATTACACAATACTACAATACTACACTTGAAATTATATTCTTTTTGCCTTCAATAACTACAGTTTTTGAACAAAGGCGCGCCTGGCCGCGCTCACGCTGCAGCACGCGCAGGACGCCGCGCGGCACCACAAGCTGCTGCACGACACCAGGGCGCAGCTCGCGGAGGTACGTCGCACTCACCGCTCTATTACACAATACTACTCGCTGGCGCGCCTGGCCGCGCTCACGCTGCAGCACGCGCAGGACGCCGCGCGGCACCACAAGCTGCTGCACGACACCAGGGCGCAGCTCGCGGAGGTACGTCGCACTCACCGCTCTATTACACAATACTACTCGCTGGCGCGCCTGGCCGCGCTCACGCTGCAGCACGCGCAGGACGCCGCGCGGCACCACAAGCTGCTGCACGACACCAGGGCGCAGCTCGCGGAGGTACGTCGCACTCACCGCTCTATTACACAATACTACTCGCTGGCGCGCCTGGCCGCGCTCACGCTGCAGCACGCGCAGGACGCCGCGCGGCACCACAAGCTGCTGCACGACACCAGGGCGCAGCTCGCGGAGGTACGTCGCACTCACCGCTCTATTACACAATACTACTCGCTGGCGCGCCTGGCCGCGCTCACGCTGCAGCACGCGCAGGACGCCGCGCGGCACCACAAGCTGCTGCACGACACCAGGGCGCAGCTCGCGGAGGTACGTCGCACTCACCGCTCTATTACACAATACTACTCGCTGGCGCGCCTGGCCGCGCTCACGCTGCAGCACGCGCAGGACGCCGCGCGGCACCACAAGCTGCTGCACGACACCAGGGCGCAGCTCGCGGAGGTACGTCGCACTCACCGCTCTATTACACAATACTACTCGCTGGCGCGCCTGGCCGCGCTCACGCTGCAGCACGCGCAGGACGCCGCGCGGCACCACAAGCTGCTGCACGACACCAGGGCGCAGCTCGCGGAGGTACGTCGCACTCACCGCTCTATTACACAATACTACAATACTACACTTGAAATTATATTCTTTTTGCCTTCAATAACTACAGTTTTTGAACAAGCGGCTTATTTGGTCAAGCTACTTAAATGATCTGATGCCTAAGTACAAGTTTGTTTCACGTTTAAAGTAATCGAAACGAGTACGTGTTCGGCGCTCTGATTGGTTGCTTCATTGGCGCCGGCCAATAAGAGTGCCGAACACGTACTCGTTTCGAATACTTTAAACGTAAAACAAACTCGTACTAAGGCCTCTGAGCATTTGATCACGTCTTCCTTCCCCTAAACGTGCTCTATTCTAATGCAACAAAAATTTGACTAATAACATCACTACCGGTAATATAGCCTAAAAAGAAAAACAACATATTTTAAACTGTCAAACACCAAGCGGTCACCGATGACCGCAACCTATTGTTCTATAATTGTGTCTATATTGACGGTACTCGACGAGTTAAACATTTCTATGACCTTTCATACATTTTTAGCAACAAAAAATTTATAATATTTTTACTTTTATATCTCGATTATTTGTACAGTTGCAGGAGCAATCGGAGCGATCTGCGGCGGCGCTGCGATTGGCTAACGCGGACCAGAACCTGAACCCGTGGGGAGTGCCTGCCGCGCTGTCTGCACTACTGCAACATGTGTCGTCCGGCACCTCTACACGATCCGTGTCGCCTGTAGACAGGTACACAGAATCGTTATTTCTAATGAAACATTTTAATCTAATTTTTATTGACATAATTCATCGAACGATAGTTTCATTTTCTATACAACGGTAAAACGGGTTGAGTAGAAATCGAGGGGTCAAAGAAGAGGGGTGGGAAAATGTTCTAGCATTTATTCGCCCCTTAAATATTCACCTCGTATTACTGCAGTCAACTATCTGCTAATGTATTTTGCCTACGAGGTCGGGCAATATTATTGACGAATTTAATTAATTTTCTTATATAGCGTGTACTAATATCGCCTTGTATTCCAGCTCGCTACTAGATGTACGTCCCAGTAACGGAGTCCGTGAGTCTAGTACGGCGCCCACGTCTCCGCCTGACGACAACACGCCCTCACCCTTCCAGAGGAACACGTTAGTGTTATATTTCATTCATTAAGCCTTTGACTGCCGACACAAAACTGTTACAGGCTAATCATCCGCTGGCGTCGGACATCATTGTCCGACACGGCATCCAATTTGTAAATATTAATGCTTACTTAGTTTTTTTGTATTATTCGTACTGATATGACAATACTCAGTATTGCCCTAATGCCCAATCCTCGCACGGCAACGCACTTCTTCTTCTTTACTGTTGGGGGTGCCCATGGGTGACGCCGATTACTTATCATCAGGTGATCTGTCTGCTCGTTTGCCGCCATATGAATAATTGCAAAAAACCTTTAGCCGTGTCGTTACCCGTGGTGAAATCAAACACTTTCACATTTATAGTTGAGACGCCCACCTACATTTTCTCGCATGATATGCCATTTTATGCTTGTTGTACTTTTCGACGTTGAAATAATTTATGGCATCTCATTAATCATGTACTTTGAAAAAAAATATTTTGTTCTCCATCTAGACAACGTCGCGGCTCAGTCCGTCTCCGCGACCTGGGCGTGATAGGTCGGGACGAGGACCCGATGACTCAGTCCATGGTGGAGCCCGCCTCACCACGACCCATACCACTCAGTCGTGTGCCTAGTGCTCCTGGAAGTCTCAGGTAAGTTATTGTGAGCCTTTACAATGTGCTATAAAGTTCAATTTTGAGTACTGTTTCATTGGGTTCGAATTTATTTTGGTGTTTACGTAAGAAATGGCTTGGTAAAATCTTATTATTGTATTGTATAAATCTCAGATTATAATTGTGATAACAGTGCGTCCACACTTGACGAATGCGCCGCTCACAAGCATTGCGTGGAGAACGTTCGAATATCAAATCACACGAGCAGTTCGCATTTCGCAACATGCTCGCAAGTAGCGCACGAGGGGAGCAATCACCAGACATAGACACACCACTATATTAATTACATCGTACATTATCGTAATAACAAATCTGAACCCCATTTACCCAAACACAATTTTACGTTTCTACGGAAATAGTTTTTACTAAATTGCATTTTACAGCTATTCTTATTAGAGAATTTTACCTTACACATTGTTATCGTCCACAGAGGTCTCCAGCCCCTGAACAGTGGTGGCGGAGTGCTGGCGTCTCCAGTAGCAGTGCGGCGTCCCCCCGCTCCCCCCGAGTCCCCGCGTCCCCCCCGCCGACAGCTCTCCAAGCCAGCCTCATTGTACGTATACAATACCCCACTCTACATACCCTAGGGGCGATTTAGGGGAATTTGCAGTGAATGGGGGATACGCCGGAAGTGATCACGTACAGTCCAAATTAAACCGTATTGTTACATAGGTATATAAAGTCTAAACTTGTGAACATGTCAAATGAAATTAGATTCTATTCTTTATTAGTTAACGTCAGCTTTTAACTTCATTATTGCTGAAAACTAACCCAGTCTTCAATTAATATTAGTTTTTAATTAATATATTTTACGTAAACACTTTCGACCTATCTTTTATACAGAATATTACAAAATATCTGAATGTTCTGTTATATTCTATTTCTCTAAATGTCTATTTTTTTTAAAGTAGTTATTGTTATTATTTAGTATATTGATATGTTGGGGAATTGGTGTTATATTTCACACTTATCAATTCAAATTGAAGCTTATGTAGTTAGAAATATGTCTGTCTCTTTCACTCCTGTGTTAGCGGTATCTCTGTCCCTTTCTGCATGGTACACTGCTTGGGTAAATGTGCTATATGGTGTGAGGTAGTCGTTATAGTAGATGTATTTAGCTATGGGATATGTGTTTATGTGTTTACGTTATATGACTTGTAACAAAACAAACGAACTTTCTAGCACAGACCTGATATTTGACAACTTTTGTTACATAGTAACTAAATTAATTAGTTTACACGTAACTGGTCGAGGGTTCTCGACTAGTTTCAAGCCACGACCGTGGTCCATAATTAAGTGCGATCGTCATGGCAAACATTATTCTTCTGAAGTTGGCTTGAGAGTCGCATTGACATTCCATTCTATGGAATGTTAATTTTTTGCGTAAATACAATATTTTTTAGGTTTGTTTTGTTACACCTATTAAGTATAGGACATTCAAGTTTACTTAAAGAAACGACTGGTTTTATCATATTTTCGCCCAAAATATAGTATCAAAATCTAAATAGGAGTACTGAATCTGTTTATTACATAACAGCTTCAAAGTGAGTGTACTGGAGTTACACCACTGCCTAGCCACTTAAGGAAAGGCGCTGTTATATGATAGAAACAACTTTATGATTCCCTAACAGCGCTTAATTTTAAGAGCTGATTAGGGATTAGTGTAGTAGTCAGAGGGCCTAGTACAAGTTTGTTTTATGTTTACCTAGATCGAAACGCTACAGCGTTTACCCTTCCGATTGGTTGCTTCATTGCAGCAGGCCAATCAGAGCACCGAACGTTATAATTGTGTGGATCACGTTAAACGTAAGGGTGCGTCCTCATCTGGCGAATGCGCAGCTCGCAAACAGTCATAGTTCGTATAAATAATATATTTTAACTCGTCGAGTACCGTCAATATAGACACAATTATAGAACAATATGTTGCGGTCACCGGTGACCGCTTGGTGTTTGACAGTTTAATGCATGTGCGCCGCTCGCGGGCGACTCGCAAGGCTCGTATTCGCGGAGCATTTCCCAGATATAGACACACCCTAAAACATACTCGTACTAAGCCATCGGTTAGTTTGAACGAGTGATTTAAAGTTAAAGGCGAAAATCAGAAGAAAGTCGTTGTTCTTTAAGTAAATTAATAATAATAAGAAATCTAATTACACGTGCAGAGTTATTTACGGTTAATACAGCGCATTTTTGAATCGCTTGAAAACATTTGAGCTTCAAGAACAAAAATTGTATTAGAAACAATTGTTTACATGAACTTGCTTACCATACTAGTTCTTTCTCTTACCTTCCTCTGCTGGAAACTCCTGAAAATGTGAATAAAAATATTTCATTACGCCTCTTATTTCTTAAACAGTCATGCGTCGAAACACGTGCTAAGTATAACACCTACTGTTTGTATTATCTTCGCCGCGCCTCCGCCGATGTGCGCTGGGCTTTTGACAGTGAATTTTCCATTTTATTCAACAACCGATTTTCCTATTTGTCTTTGTCCACGGGACAGGAATGGCATCAGAGACCTGTTGATCGGCAGTAACATTTGCGACTCAACCAACGAGGTAGTAGGACCATGTAAACAATACTATAATATATTTATTACGTACCGTAAGTAAGTTTGCACGTCACTAAGGCCCCATTCATACGAGTTGTTTTAACGCGCGTTATAAAAGCGATAAATTAAAAACGTTCATACATCCAGCGCTTTTAAAACGCAACACATTTATCAAGCAGTGTTGCATTTTCAACGCTGGGTTTTGGTAAATAAGACTAAATTGCTTTGTGTACTTGCCAACGCTTTAAGATGACGTTAAAAATGCTCTCGTACGAATAGAGCCTTATGGTTGGGTGACGCGGTATTTGTTGCAACTCTTGCAACTTGCAGCTTGCTGACCGAGCTGCGGATAGTGGAGGACTGAGGCCGGCCCGGGCCTCCCCCGCCCATCTCTAACACACTACGACGCTCAGCATGCGCACTCCTTATCTATTGCTTTATCTATAGCATATACTATCTCTATATAACATATAAAGTGTGACTTAGTATTCGTAACATCCTATAGGTAGTGGTTCAGGTTGTGATATTGAACAATTACTGCTAATTAAAATAATGTATGGCTACATTCTGTATTGCTAATAAAGTTATGTCTCTCTAGCTTATTGCTTATAACCCATATTTGCTGAAAACGAAAGCTTTATATTATATAATGTACAGACTTCAGAGGACTTAGTACAAGTTTGTTTTAATTTTAGCGAGATTGGAACGTTCGGCACTCTGATTGACCGGCTCGAATGAACGAATCAATCACAGCGCCAATCGCAGTAACATTCCGATCTCATTAAACGTCCTCACTTGTGGACAGGTTGTCCATAATATTTTCGTAACCTACGCTAGAACATTTTGCTATAGGTTTTCATTTAAACTGTCAAACACCATGCGGTCACCGGTGACCGCAACCTATTGTTCTATAATTGTGTCTACAAAACCGGTACTCGACGAGTTAAATTTAATGACTAGTTATGTTATGGAAAGTACAAGTTTTGTTTTACTGAATTGACAAAAAGTCTAAAACAAAACTCGTTTAATTTTATGACTGAACCAATATCTCCTTAGTCTTGCGTTTATTCTGTCACACTTTATAAGCTGATTTAATCTTAGTTTATTACAAGCAAATGTATTTAAAACAATATTTATTAATAGTATAGTTTCTGATGTATGACTTAAGACGGGGGAAAATTAAGGACATTATTTACGGGCCCGTCCGTACTTTACGTACACATTGTACGTTCACGTATGCACTGAAGTTTATCAAGTATATTTATAAATGTTAGGCAAAATACTAACTTTTAATTCAAACTATTATATGTAAATTGTCACTAATACGGGTATCGGACCAAATATTCTAATCGTGATACCGCATAACTATCACTTTAGGCAGCTGAAATTTGAACTTAACTGTGATGATCACATGATCTAATTTTGTATAACTATCGATCAACGAATTCTTCTATCTTTGTAGTTTTTAAGGGAACCGTGCATTTATGAAGTGCATAAAAATGTAAATTAATAATACTAATCCAAAGGAATTGTTAGCTTATTGCATTTTACTGTAATATATTGAAGTAGTTTGTAAGGATACCGTCACAAGTGTAACTTAAGCTTTAACTCGAGATGACACGGATTATACTATGCACAGAGACTAATCTACACGTGCACAGGAAATACCAATGCTAACATACCCTCACCACAATAATTAAGCATGATTCGTGCCATAGATTATAAAGTAAATGAAATCTCTGTGCAATTTGTAATCAGTGGTTATTGTATGTATATTATGTAGGCACAATAAATAGTTGCAATACAGCTTGTGTTTTGTTTGCTACCGGCATGCCGCACCCCCGCTATATACTGCATGATATAGCATAGACTGTGTATTGGTAAATAGTATACAAATCTTATGCGCAAAGCATAGCAGAGGGTATAGTATCAGTTTGTTCTACGTTTAACATGATCGAAACGTTAATGCGTTCGACGCTCTGATTGGCCGGCTCCAATGAACCAACCAATCAGCGCTGGATCTGGTTAAACCTAAAACAAACTTGCACTAAGCCCTCAGGTCAATGTACTTCTACTTGTAAAGTTTTGCAATGGATTCTAAACTTTGCTGTTTAGCAATAAAGTTATAAATCCATTGAAGACAGCCCGAAGTATGATGATCTGCTGGTATTTGTACTATGAAAAATTACTATTCAATTATGAATTGGTCTTTAAAATGTTTTTAAGGAAATCGTCTGATTAAAAACTGTATTTGAACATCTTGATTTGATTCTTATATTTCTATGAAAAGTTATGGAATTCGCTCTTGTTCGATATTATATTGCGAATAGGGATAGGACTCAATTACAGACCACCGACCACATTAAGCTACCCAATGTTGTCGTAGATGGGTAGATGTCTAATTTTTATTTTAATGTCCGTCTGGTAGATTATTTTAAAACATTACACATGTACTTTTTATTTTTTTACAGAAAGGAATGCTTTCGATGATAATCATATTGATTTGAAATGTCGCGTGATATGAAATGACGTGTTAGCCCCCACTCCTAAACTTTGATTCGTTATATCTCAGTATCATTTTATTATACAACAAAATAAAAAAATACGTTTCTACTATTTTTTCATTACCTGACGGACTAGTTAGGTATTTAATTTTCATACCCTGTCATCATCCCTATTGCTTTAACAGATTCTCAAACTTATAAGTTTCACAATAAAAGTCATAATCTATTGAATAATTTCCAAAAATTTAAGGAAACTTGATGTGGTCGTCTAGACATAATATCTTTTCAAAATTTATTTTTGTACTAATAAAAACCTACAGTTTCTCCTTTTTGTAAACTAACTTATAGTAAATGTTGTTTCAATGGGTGACCAAATAATAAGAGTAGTGCTTAGTCGCACTAATAGTATGTAGACAAATCACATATAGGATGTTCTTATTTTAAACGCAAAATATTGCAATACTAAGTAGAAATGCAAGTTGAGTTGTAGCTGAATGTTTTAAATCAAGATAGAATTCCGACCAGTAGACACTGTAAGTATATTTTTTGTGTTGTTAGTTTGTTCGTCATTTTGTCACATTTTTCCATGGCATGGCTAATTGTGCCCCGTTGGCCTCATTCGTTTTGTTGCTACGTTCAATGTTGTCATGTCCAAAATTCCTAGCTTTTGAGTACATAATGTATCATCCATTTTTTAAATTTCATACTTTAATATTATGCCCTGGAGTAAACATGGGCCATCTCTAATGTCGTTCATAACATTAATAACAGTTTATAATGATTTATAAATTTTACATTGTCCGATTACATCCCAATTCTAATTTAAATAATATAACAAATGGTAGTAGATTAACTGAAAGCAGGTCACAGAAATAATACTTAAACAAAATCACCCTTTAGGTACTAACTGCTTTACAATTTACTATTTTCACTTCTAAAATTTGTAATAATAATAATTTACTCAATGAATTGAAATAATTATGTAATTAATACTATATACCTTCCGTATATGTTTGTTAGATATTCCATTTTGCAAACTGCATGAGATTTAACATAAACTTAAAACCAATAAACACATCACTATTGGGATGTAACTAACATCACTGTAATAATGTAATTTCATCGTATTATAGACGTCAGCACATCACGCGACTTATATACATTTATTTTCAACTTTATCACAAAGTAAATAAAGTTGAAAGTCCAATAAAGAAATAATGTTCAAAACGTTCTTTCAAGTTTCAAATCTGTTGGTTGGGCACGTCTCATCCGATCTTCTTTACCTTGTGTGCTGACTTCTATACCTTAAAAGATTCATGTAACATACCTTTCAAGCAACTTGTTTCCTTGCTAACTGGCTGTGGTACCTCAGAGAGCCGAGTGCGACCGTCGGCACTCCCCCAGCGTCGCCGGGCGCCGCGCGAAGAGCGCGAGATGATGACGTGTTCCTCCGCCTCACGGGCGCCGGCAACGATAATACTCCTCAGGGCGTCGTCAAAGAAATTACTTTGAAGGTTAGTAATAGCTTAATGTATATTCTATAATTGAAAATGATATTTGTGTGTATTGTGGATTGAATTTTGATATTAATTGAGTCCGATGATTTCTATTTAGATCACAAAAATATTTTTGATTGTAAATTATACTGTTACCTTTTTATTATCTCTTAAGGCTAATAGAAAACATTACAAACGTCACATTTGAAAAAACATTTTTTTTTTTTTATTAAGTACGTAAGTATATCCATGTCTTGAATAAAACTTATAAAAAGTTCACCACTTTTTTCAATATCAATTTAAACATAACGAGTATGAAACATACAAAAGTACACTTACCAGCCTTTCAATAAGGTTCTTATTCCCTGTGACTCAGCGTACGAGTGGCAGTGGCGGCAGCGGCACAGGCGCGTGGCTGCAGTGTACGCACGTGGCCGAGGGACACGCCGGCGCCGCGCTCGCACTCGCCGCCACGCCGGACCTGCTCTACAGCGGGGGAGTCGGTGAGGACATTGCATTCTTAATATTATTAACAACTCTGCAGTTTTATTATCAGTAGAAACAAACCTTAACGGTCCATCTGACGGTAATTGGCGTCAAAAACCATGTAGGAAACTGTTAATTTCCCCATCTTTTCAAAGGTAACTCTTTGAAAGTCATTACATTCATATAGCGGCTTGTGCATCCAGAACTTTCACTTACCAGCCTATAGGCAGTTAAGTGAGAGTTTTGCTTTATTTCTATCCATGTCTAACCGGGCCTTTCAAATTGTTTAAGGCAGCTACTAGTAGGCTCTACTACTGTAAATTTGTCTCCTGTCGAGGGTTAAAATAAGTTTACAAAATATACTTCGTTTGTGTTTAGATCGTACAGTCCGTGGCTGGGACTTCGTGGCGGGTACAGAGACGTGGCGCGGGTGGTGCGGCGGCAGCGTGGGCGCGCTGGCGGCCGCCGAGCGCCTCGTGCTGGCCGCCGCCGGCGCCGCCGTCAGGCTCTTCGATACACGGTCCCGCACTCCCGTCACTACGCTCTGGTAAGGGTAATATGAAATTATCTCATAGTTCTCGTGACAGTTATTTTACAAATCTATGTAAATCTTTAAAAATTCAGACGCTGCACAATCAATATTTTACAAAAATACTACATAAGTAATAAAATTCAATCCCTTTATAATATGACCTCGTATCTACGTTAAAAACGTATTATATAAAAATGTTGTAAAAGTAATATTACACTGAATACTGGCTAGCAGTACATTGTTACTATTGTCGAAAATATCACAATACTAACTTTCATACTAAAATCGGTTCTAAGAATGTAAGGTTCTCTAATTGAATTTTACGTAACTGCGATTCAAAATCCGCTACTTAACGTGGCGACTCCATCTCCCTTCCCTATATTCAGCAGTGAGTATCTTCCACAAGATGATGTTGAGAATTCACGTCCATGGTCCCCCGCAGGTCGTCAGGAGTGACAGGTCCGTGCCCAGCTAACCGCGGCGTGGGCGGCGAGGTGGCCGTCACTGCACTCGCGCTCGCACAGAATCATCGCTTGTATACCGCCGTCGGAGACAAACTCAGGCTGTGGGACCTCAGGATGTAAGTATTCGTATGGCAATCCCTGCTAACTACTACTCGATAATACTTAATTAAATCACTGTATCAAAAAGAGTTATAATGAAAAAAAATAATATTACAAATGCGAAATTAAATTTTTAGATAAAGCTTAACCAATCTTCTTAAATATTTGAACAATAATAACATTTGGAATGCACGGTTGGCGCAGTGGCTAGCTAACTAACTGCTGCATAACGCGTCATGGGTTCAAACAGCTCTGTGTAATCCAAATTGTTATTCCGGGTTTGGGTGTGACATACCTACGACATGGGAATTATGATGGTGAGTAATTAGTTCAATCCCCGTGTGTATGCAGGATGGAGTGCGTGTGCAAGCTGTGGACGGGGCACGCGGCGGCCGTGATGTGCCTGGCCGTGGGCCGCGCCGCCGCCGGGGACCTCGTGGCCACCGGCTCCAAGGACCACTACGTGCGCACGCTCGACATGCTGCCACAGGACACTGGTATGTATTAACTAAAATCACGGGTTACTTACGTAAATATACTGAGAAAAGCTATACTAGTTTCGAACCACAGAGAGGTTCTTCCTTATGAGCAGCGTGTGCAGTTGCGGCGACGTCGCGCAACTCACTGTGTCAGTATATTCACGTTAGTATGTCTCACGATAGTTATTATAAAAACTGGTATATATTGCTTGTGACGTACGTCATACATTTGCTTGTGATATTTACGTCGTTCGGATGAAATTGCAGAATAGCACTTAGCTTTGAGATATCGAAGATATAGCGGGGTCTTCATGAGGAAATGTCCAACAGAGAACAATTTTCTAGATAATGGCTTTAATGTCACTATTTTTAGACATAAGAGTGAGACAAACTTTTTTGATTTTAAACTAAACCCTAGCGATGCTATCGCCAACTTGCATTGGGCAAGCGTGATGATGAATGCTCAGACCCCTTCCGTGCGAGAAGAAGCCTACGGTCAGCAGGCCATGATCATCATAATCATCATTATGATTATAATGAAATTACTACTGACTTTAAAGTTGGTTACTTTAAAAACATTAACACAATCAAAGCTGGGATAGTACATTTATTTTATTGCCACTAATGAAGATTTGTTCTAAAAGTACCAATTATTTTTACTAGGGAATTACGAAGCAAGCAACCGATGGCTACTAGAGCCGCCTCACTACGATGGCGTACAAGCTCTTGCACTGAGCCAAGAAGACGGCGCGTTATACAGCGCCTCTCGAGACACAAGCCTTAAGCGGTGGAGTCTCACTGACCACACACTCACGCATGGAGTTATGAATGCGCATAAAGGTAAGCAATGGAATATTTACCGTCAATAAATACAAAAATGCTTGATAGATATTGACAAATATTTTTACTTACTAAAATATTTACATTAAGAATGAACATTCATTCTTGACATTGATTCTTGAGGCATTTATGAAGACATCTTCATAAATGCCTCGTAGATATCTGACTCGCTAAAGAATTTGTAATTTTTTATGAGTTAAGTCGGTAAAATAGCAGACGGATCACCTGATGGTAAGCAATCGGCGCCGCCCATGGACACCTGGAACACCAGAGTTACAAGTGCGTTGAAAATTTCGTGCAGCCGCCATCTTGGATTCACATTTTGACATCGTTATCGGTTTTTTACCACCCTCGAAAACCATCGCAGCTAAACCCATGATGATCACTTGAACATTTTGAGCAGTGGCAGATTTTAACTCAGCCGTTTTTATTTCGGCTAGTCGTCTAGCCGTGACGTTCAACATCGCCTCCCCGCTCACCGCTAAGATCGAATTTATGACTCGAGTTAACTTGATCCTGCTATTATTTATAATATCTGGTTAAAGTGATCAATTAATCACATTGACTAAGCAATTCGGGTATTATGTATAATGAGCAGTGATTGTGAATAATTAGAATTGAATCACTTTGTCTGAGGCCTTCGTACGAGTTTCATTTACGTTTAAAGTATTCGTAACGAGTACGCGTTCGGCACTCTGATTGGCCGGCGCCAATGAACCAACCAACCAGAGCGCCGAACGCGTACTCGTTACGATTACTTTTAACGTAAAACAAACTCGCACTAAGGCCTCTGTATGTCCGTGTGCAGGCTGGGTGACGGGCGTGTGCGCGGTGCGCGCGGTGGACGCGGGGCTGGTGGCGAGCTGCGGGCGCGACGCGGCGCTGCGGCTGTGGAGCGGCGCGCTGCGGCCCGCCGCCGCGCCCGCCGCGCTGCCCGACCTGCCGCACGCCCTGCGCGCGCACCCCGCCGCGCCCGCGCTCTACACCGCCGGCAAGTCAGTACTCGCAGCTGTATTATCTATATTTTGTTATTGAGTGGATATAGTTGAAAGATATTTCAAAATAGGGGTTAATGACTTTTGTGTATAGGGTGTTTAAAATAACGTTATATTCACAAAGCAATGAAGTTATTGGTCTCAAAAACGCAAGTTGACTAAAATGAATCTTATGTAGACTCCTATTTACTATTAGAAGTGATCTCTATAAAAATGTGTCTTCTAATTTAACATCATTATTTACATTTGTTTGTATACAAGTTATTCAATAGGATTATGTCATTGAAAACGTAAGACTGTTTACACATGACACTGCCGCCTCAGTGCAGTCTTGCTGCCGCCGTCGCAGTGTTGTATGTAAAGCTCTATACACATCTTATTGAAAGTAATGCGACATCACAGCCGCGACGTAATGTGTAAACAGCCTAACCTAAAATGTATGTTTAAATTAACTTTTTTGTTTCAATGTGCCAGGTCATTGTGTTTAGTTAGTCGTGTCTCCAATAACAGTCGCAGTAGATAGTGTAGTGAGTATAAATGAGTAACATGTGAGTGTGTTGCAGCGGCGGCGAAGTGCGCTCCTGGCGGGTCACCCTCGAGCAGTGACACTCACAGGTGACACACACTCATACACCGCTACACACTCGTCACACACTCGTCACACACTCGTCACACACACACAAACATATTAAACCTTTCCACCTAAATTCACTGCTATGACGCGCTGGTACAGTAATGACCAAACTATTCCTGGTAATCTAATGAGGCCACCGTTTTTGAATCACCTGATGGCGCAAATTTACAAGAGATTTTTTGTCCAATATCTGCATCTATTAAATACTGAACGTCCAATGGTGTGATATTAGCTAATCCCCTATTGGATGAAAAATAAGAGGTGCACACTAGTGCCATCTAGTGATCAAAATACGGTAGCCCCCAGTGAGATGACATACGTCACCAGTGGCGCTAACGCACATAACTATCAAAAACAAAAAGAGCACTAAACTGTTTTTGTGTCCAAATGACTTGTTCTTGCAATGAATGACTTGTCCTGCACATTTCCACCTCACCTGGAGTGAATGCAACAATTTAACAAACACATACAAATCACGAAATCCAATAATACACTTTCTGTCTATAGCAATAAGAGCTAGTTTTGAACCACTCACACTCCACGCCTTTATATAGCTTTAAATGTCGCTAAACGTTCACTAACCAAACAGACATGAGTGCTATATATTTTAATATATTTAGTTAGCAGAAACAATTTGTTATAGCAATTGAATCATCAGTTATACGTAAAATGTACTAAAATAGTTATTCATTGATAATAGCGACTAATATTCTTAGCTTCTATCATGTAGGTAGTATTGATGGTATTCATTATTGGCTATGGTTTTAAAGTATATCAAAAAATGTAATATAGACATTTCCAGTTTAATACCCGGATCGGCATAAGATTTTTTATCATGAAAATCCTATTTTTATTAAAATCCGAAACTGTTTATAGGTTTAATTTCAAGTATAATAATCTATTAGCATTAGCATACAGTTTCACAATATGTGTCCGGTAAAACGGGGTGAATAGAATTCGAGAGGTGAATAGATATATAAGAGGGGTGAATAAATATTTAGAAAATGTTCAAATTTTTATTCACCCCATTCCTGTATCTATTCACCTCTTCACAGAAAAGTGCTTCATCAACAGCCTATAAATACCCACTGCTGAGCAAAGCCTCAAAGAAAAGTGCTTGCTTAAAAGAATTATACGCTATGTGTTGCCTCAGCTCTTAATTTTTGCATACAATCTAAGGGGGCGTCCAAAAATGACGTGAGATGTTTAAGGGGGGGAGGGGGTAGACTCAAATCTCATCGAATCTTACGTTGGAGAGAGGGGGGTCTCGGCAAATATCACGTATTTTTTTTCTGATAGAAACGAAAAAAAATATACAATTTTTACCGACTTCATAGTTCATTTATTCCAGATTGTAAGTACATACTTAAGATTTAATTGTACATGCATATGGATTTTTTTCTTTTTGCAATAACAATCCAACAATCCAACGCGTTTACGTGAAAAACCAACATTTTGAAAAATCTCACGTGAGATTGGGGGATGGGGGAGGGTGTTTAATAAAATCTCACGAAATCTCACCAAGGGGGGAGGGAGGGACAGACAATTTAAAAAAAAACACCTCACGTATTTATGGACGTCCCCTAACTACATACTATTCTTTCTGGGAACATGATTGTAAACATGTTTGATTATTTTTGCAATGCTCTCAAAATGTATCTAAGCAACTATTTGGTGACAAAACTGCAACTGAGATCATAAAAATTATGAGAAGTGTTAAAACAATCATGAAACCCTATAATATTGACCCGATCCGGAGATTGAACAGCTAAGGTCGCAGTGAACCTCTGGATGCAGGTAGACCTCAATAGGGGAACGCCTATGTTCAGCAATTAGACGTCAGGCTGATATGACGATGATGATGATACATAGTTGCACTATTAAATATAGAGGTATAATGTAATACAAAACTTCATACAATAATAACATACGTATATATTTTTAAAAAGAGTAACGATTGAGTTCCTTAACCAAAAATCGTGGGTTACTCGCGTCAATATACTGGGAAAAGCTCTACTAGTTTCGAGCCACATAGGGGCTCTTTTTCATGAGTCAATATCACCAATGCAACTAGTAGAGCTTTTCTTAGTATATCTACGTGAGTAACCCGCGATTTTTAGTTAATTTAGTATGCCTCAAGATGTAGTTTCTTGCTCGTTCTTCTCCATTCGAATTTACACTTTTGATCGAGCACCTATCTTCGCTGACGGGGATACTGACAGACTACTCTTTATTTTTTGACGGTTCAAAAGTACCTGTTTATGGTTTAGCTGAAATAAATGCTTTGTTTGACTTTTTTATGGCATAAGCCGGTAAACGAGCCGACGGATCACCTGATGGTAAGCAATCGGCGTCGCCCATGGACACTTGGAACACCAAGGCGTTACAAGTGCGTCACAAGCCTTTTGGGAATTGATAATTTAAGAATTGTGAAGGATTCGGGGATGGGGAGAAACTGGGGAGGGAGGGGGGGTAATTTGAACTTTAATAAAAAACCGTACAAAGTTGATGGCAGTTTTGCTGAATGATAGATGATTGAAAAGAAACGAGTCTGTTTCACCATTCAAACCATTCTGTGTGACTACTGTACTGAGTACGTCGCACTGTAGCTTGCTCACGCGCCGCCGCTTCACCCCTCACAGGCAATACCGTGCTTCGCTCTCTACTCCTGTGAAATATAACACCAAGATTTTTCATAATATATACCTTTATAAATGTCCTATTTAACTTTTAGATAATTTAGAGCCGATTTGAAACAAAAATCTCTGATTTTGTCGGAAACTATAGAAGTAATGTCAATAATCGATTTTAAATTGAGAAGTGCTATTAATTTCGGCCGTCAAATAAAATTGTTCATGTGTCTTAAAGTGCATTTTCTTAATACTAATATCACTTAATAATAATTGGATATTTTCTATTAAGCATTTATAAAGGTTATAGCCACAATTTTTAAACTAAATCTATCTACGATGCTATTGATACAATAATTTTATGAAAATTTTGACAAAGTTAAAAATTGTACTAAGAAAAAGAGCTCTACTACTTTCGTAATACAGAGGGGCTCGTGACTCGAAAATACGAAATAAAAACGCTTTACTATTTTCGAGCCAAGAGTCCCTCTGTGACTCGAAACTAGTAGAGCTTTTCTCAGTATAATTTCGTGATCAAACCTATATTTTAGTTAATTCAGTATAGTTAATAGAAAAAGTACATCTTAGAGACACAATGCGTTTTCTATTGTGTCCTTAATACCGATGTAGAAGAGGTTAAAATCTTCATCATATTATTGCATCTGTTTATTTTTATTGATTAATCTATTAAATGTCGAGTACATAATAATATTTTGTGCAATAGGTTCCATTTACTATCCATCTATTTAGTAAATACCAATGGTGTTGTAAGTAAGAAGGTGTAGATAGGTTATAAGCGCTCAGAGGTCTTATTACGAGTTTGTTTTACGGTTATAGTACTCGAAACGAGTACGCGTTCGGCGCTCTGATTGGTCAGCTCATTGGAGCCGGCCAATCAGAACGCCGAACGTGGCACATTCACTTAAAAAGTGGCACATTAATATTTGGATAATTGGTCACATTCTACTTCAAAGTATTACTTGGTTTTTAATAATTCTCAGTAGCACGGAGTCCGGAAATGTACCCGGTATATGGCAATAGGCTCACCCCCTATTACATGGGATTCATAACATAAATAGTGAAAAGTGGGTGTTACATTGTAAAATGGCATTAAGTGCCGTAATGTGCACCTGTGCCTACCTCTTCAGGAATAAAAGGCGTGATGTTATGTTAATTTACCGGAAATCTACGTTGCGCTGTCGCGTTAGTGTGCCGTTTTTTAAAATCGAATGCTATTTAGGTAACCTATCTATATACATAACCTATTTAAATATAACCTATCTATATAGGCCTTGTTACTTACAACATCAGGTGAATACTTTAACCCATCCATTGACTAATCCAAAGCTTTAAATGTTGTGTGTAGTATTAGCTGTTATTATAATATATTTCTTTTCTATCTAACCGTACCTTTTGTGTATGAAATTGACTATAATTACGCCATAATAACAAAGCATCAAGCTTTTTCAATTCTTAAGATTTCTTTAACATAAATGGTTAGTTTTTACTATGCTTCTCTACGTATTGTAAAATGAACTTTAAAGCAATAAGTGAAGATGTCTATTTAACTGTATCTACCTGAACAAACTATTGCACTAACATGCGCTAATATTTATATTGTGTTTGAAGTTAAGGTTTTCTAAAGAATTAATAGTTTTTATCCTTATACTGATATTAATTTTCAAAAGTGCCTTACTGGTCAATTGAGAAAAAGTCAGTTTGGCTTCTTTTTTACTTTCATTTTAAGATAATCATTATTAATTTCGGACGCAAACAGCGTTCGAAACTTGACCGCGAACCATACACTTTGCTACCAATAGTATAAGTATCAAAAATAATGTACTAACTTTTACAGTGACGGCCGCATACGTTGCTGGAGAGTGCGCAAGACTAGATGACCATCGGCCGCGTGCTCCGGCGCCGCCTCCCCGCGCACGCCGCGCGCGCGCCGCGCCTGGCGGTGACACGGGAGCACGACGCCCATCCACTGGTACAACTGCAGTTATATGTTATTGTGGTTGTAGTAGAACTTTTAATACTTTGTGTTGGTATAGTCAATATAGAAGTGTGAAGAATGTTTGTAAAGCGAATATAGTGACAATGAAAATGTCGATTCGACGCGAAGAAAGTGATTTGGATAATGTAATAATTATATACCTTTTTGTCTCGCTCACCAAAAACAAATTATGTTAGTACATTGTACTTTAATGTGTAGCCGTCAGAACATTCAGTCTAATTTCTTCAATAAGATTTTCAACGCTCATACAAAACAATAGAGTTGAAAATTGATTGAAGGAATTTGACAGTTTGACGTCTTGACCGAGCATGCAGGTTTAATTACTTTCAACCTTGTCTCACTAGAAATAACGTATATTTTCGTTTGTCGTGTAAACTCGATTGTTCGTGTTTCGACTTTTGTGATCCGAATATGTAGTGTAAGGGGAGGAATGAATCTGTTTGAACTTAGATAGTTCATACGGCAGCACATCAAGGTATTCTAAAATGTTAAATTTAGGAACCTACCTTTTTGGTCAAGTAGCCGCAAGCTAAACTGCTAAACAAGGGGTCTCTGGTTAGATTAGACTTAATAATACCATAAAGTCTGAAGTTGTGTCCGGTGTACGACAATAGACTCGCCCACTATTACATGGGACTTTAAATGTAAGGTACACGGAAGTTTAGAGTACCTTCACGTGCTGATTTTTTGCAATACATACATACAATTTTGTTACATAGGTCGATATTATGTACCGACGCTGTTAGCGAGTTTGGTTGAAGTTCCTAAGCACTGTTACTGAGTAAAATTTATATTAAAATGTATTACAATATGTTAAATTCATATTATTATAGTAGTCAACCGAACTTGTGTAACACATACCTTTTTAATCTATAGTCTTAACTCAGTATTGAATATCCTATGTAACAAAATGTCGGCAAGTCCGTATTGTATCTAGATGTTCTTTGTTTGAACAAAAATTATAACATTTTAAAAAGACAATTGCATCTCTATAGAATATTTATGATCTCTAGAATTTAAAAAATAACATGGTAGAGATTCGACTTTAGTTAAAAAATTATACAACGATTACTCACGAATACGATAGATGGCGTTGTTATAAAGATTTTAACAAGAATTGTTTTAGTGCATTGAATTATTATTTTATTATCAAATTAATTACAATTTAAATGACCTAAATATAGTACCTGGCTATATATAATTTGAGAGAATCGACTGGTATAAAAAAGGACATTCCAACAATGAAATAAACAAAAATCCCCTAATCGTGTGTTGGCAGGGCCTAAACATTTGATAAACTATGTAATCTAATAAATTTAAATAAATAATAACTGCTGAAAAAAATAACACATTAGATCCGGGGAATTAAAAAATCGGAATATTATTTAATGATTCTGAAGTATTAAATAAATAGATGTATATCGCAAAAAACACATAGTGCGTGGCCTAACAATATTCCAAGATTAGTTCGGAACGTAGTCGTTAGTTTTGACGGCGCTAGTGAGCTCCTTTTGTTAGAAAGTAATAAATAAAATTAATTGTTAGAATAAAAACAATTTGTTTGGTTTTAGCTTAATGAAAATAGTATGAATTATGATAATTAGAAAGCTAATGGCGTTTCCAATACAGCAATCGTAATCTAAGCAAAAAGGCTAGAAAATAATTTTCTGACGCATGCTTATTGCTTAAAAAATGGGTAATATTATAAATATTCTTTAAATAATCACTGAAATTGTGTATTATTGATATTTGGTGTTTCGTTACTAGGCTCACTAGCGCCGTACATAGATCAATGAATAAGAATCGTGTGATAGTCAGTATACTGCTAGAAGATGGCCTTCAAATAAACCATTGTTATTGTTGTACCGAATTTATTTAAACGCTCTCGATATGAAGCGAGCATGCAATCAGAAGGCGAGATACATTTATCATACCTACTAAACCATATTACTCCACTAATATGTCAGTGGTTTACAATAAAACTTAACAAAGAAAATCATAAATTATTATTTTTTCGCCTTACTCACCTAACTGTAACTGTACTACCCGACAGTCGCAGCGTCGCGAGTTACGAAATACTGCTCATGAATATGAGCCTCTAGCATGGCTTGAAACTAGTCGAGTTCCTCGTCAAACAGTTACGTGAGTTAGCCGAAAACATGATAATTAATTTAGTATGTCTCACGAAGGTTTTAATACAAAGAATATCTTAGTGATATATAGAATTTTCATTTTCGTAGGGACATCAAATTACCTCAAAAAGTTTCGACTTTACAACAAAAGCTGCAGCAAATTTGCGTGAATTATGAATATTAAATAGATCCTCCCTTCATTTCGAGAGCCGTTCTTGAAGATTTTATCCATAAGTAGTAGAAGCAGCCTTAGCATAGCTTAAATTAGAATCATAGTAAATTGTTACGCGCGTAGTGATGTGGCAAAATATACAGAGTTTAGTCTAAAAGTAAAGTAATGATTTTTTTGTATTTTTTGGGTTAGAAGGTAGTGCCATCCCTCGGGTTGCCAATTAATGAGAATTACTTTTTAATATGACCTTTGGACAATATCTAAATCTATTTGCATGTTGTTTTTCTGTTTCTTCCCTTTGTTTTGTTCTTCGTGTACTTATATATGAGTTTTGTTTAATTTTATCAAGACTTTATCAATTATTCTGAGTCGGTATATAAACTGAACATTTATAATTAACTTTTGAAGTTTTCTTTATATTGTCTAAATGTTATATTACTTAGGAGTTGATTTTACGACGCGTCAACCGCATGAATGCCAAAGTACGCACAATTCCCGATACATTGAACATTTTTAACCCAATTAGTAAACTTAAATAACGATTTACTTTATGGTACAAGTCTAATTCTGAATATTATATTATTAAAATTACTTATCAGAGATATAGTAATGTTATGTTAAGTTCAGTTGTTTGGAGAAAAAAAAAATCTTATTATACACTTTTGGAACACGGGACCAATGTAAAGTGCTTGTAAATTTTCAACACTTATTCCGGTGTTTTCTTCGAAACAGTTGCAGAAATAAACTTACACCATAAAGTCAACGCGTACCCCAGAGGTTATGGTTTCGACCATAGACTGACGTCCACTCTTACGTTTTAAAACTAGTTGTAGACACATTAGGAAATGTTTATGGTTTGGACCATAATCTGTGGTCTGTAACTAAAGTCTGTGCAGATAATAAACTGATATTAGTGTCCACTTCGAAACTAGTACTGATGCATCAATTATTATGATAGTCTGTGATTAATCGAATAATTATATTTTTGTACATTCCTGAGCTACGGGTACACATAGCGAACGTAAACTGTGTAATCACTTCTATAACTAGACTAGATAAACGTCAAATTATGTAGAAAGTAATTTTATAAAACTATTTTATCCTATACTAAGTACCTACACGAGCGGCTATGATTGTGTTGAGCAAATATCAATTTTATTTACAACAGTTGAAGGTTTTATTTCGTTTACCCAATGCTTATTTCAGTATTATAATCAAATAGACGAATATTATTAATTTAAGTATTTAGTAGTATTATGATCACAAATCAATGAATTTAATGAATAATCATAATTTAAGAAATTAGTTGAGTGAGCGCTTGAGGCTATCAGTTATGCTAGGAGCTTTATTAACAAAACAAAGATATATAATAAATATTATTACGTTATATCTAATACTTAGTATAATGCCTTATGAGAATCCTTGCAATAATTACTTATAAAGTGCATTTTGAAGCAGATTGAAATCACCCTTATGACTTCAATAATAGTGTTTATATTTAAGTGATGGTGAATATTTGATTGAGTTAGTTACCAGGGTGGATCTGCGCGTTTCTATGAGCCTAGCAACTAGTCATGTAGAGTATGTATCTTGTAGTATCATTTCGTTCGTTTTCGAGGTGTTTCTATACTTCATTGTGATAACCTCTTTTGAACAATGGCATAAAAATATGAAATCATTGAATGAATGTAAGATTCCATTGTTTCATGGCTAAATAATATAAAAATGTATGTCTTATATGTTTTTCTCATACGCGGCAACATCGTTAATGCTTTATGTTCCAATATTATACGGATTTTTTATTATAGTTCTTTTATCTCACGAGCGCGGGTGAGCTATAGTTGTAGTTGTAGGGAGTAAAGTCACGCGCGCTTATGCGCGTAACTCGCAGCAAGCTCATTCATTGGCGTGCCGGCCATAACTGGGCGTTCCCGAGCGTACGCAAACGGCGCACCCGCGCTCGTTAAATAAAACATCTATAACCAACATTCATTGACTGTTTTATTAAATTAAACTGTTGTTTTGTATTATTTTTTACCGAATTTAATTATAATTGTGTTTTATATCTAAAATATTGAAATGTATGAGATTTTTAATTAATATAAATCAATTTTGTGTTCTCAATATTACTTTGTATCAAACTTTGTACTGTATAAATAAGATTTTAGGGTGTTTTATGATTTTCATTAGAATTTTATTTCAATAGTAATGAAATGTTTATTAATAAAAAATATAATACTGATACATTATGTTGTTTTATTTAAATAGGTAACTACTGTAAAATTTAAAAACCATTTTGTGGCTCCTTGTCTCGTTATCCTGGCAGGGTCGCCATGTAAGGTACGGATAGTGTTAGGAATCAAGCACGATGAATGCTGAGAATACAACAAAAAATTGTTTATTAATCTAGGTGATGAATACAAGATATACAAGCACATTATAGTGGGGACGACATCAGAGGGTCTTTCAGTAACTTATAACTCCTCTGGTGTTACGGGCGTCACAATTGCTTACCATGCTCATTTGTCTGTCTGTCCCAAAAAATTGTAGTCAGGAATATCTAGGATTTTTTTAAATTAATCAATTATTTCTCTTCATTGTAAGGATTATACATTTGATAATGTATTTATCCTTCAGACAAGCTAGAAACAAACACAAAGGTATGTAACTGAAGCACGTGACACCAGAGGTCAGAACAAACACACGTGTCACGTGCAAAGAGTATAATAAGTTATTATACACTTACGTGTTGTTATCGGTACAATTGACGGTCTTTGCACGTGACCGTCAATTGTACCGATAACAACACGTAAGTGTAGCGTACCCCTATACATACTCTTTGGTGTAGCGCTGAAGGAAAACTGCAAGGATAGCTACGCAAATGCAAATGCAAATGTTAGTTTCATGGGATAAAGAATAAAGTAGCCTATATGTTATTCCAGACCATTATCTACCCCTGTTCCTAATTTCAATCCGATCCCTGCGGCCGTTTTGATGTGATTGAATATCAAACATACACACACACACACACACATACACACACATACACACACACACACACTAGGATACACACAGTCATACGTGTCGATATTTTTGTTATAAAAAGGTGTTTTAACAAAGACTTGTATAAATGACATGGTCATTACTTACGGTTAGTCTTAGTACATCCCTTATTGATATCCGTTTCACAGGGCGGTTTCCAATACTCGTAGAATAATCACTGTGCTATGTATTACTAGGTATTTGTTGTTGTAGAACAAATATGAACTGACACTCTGACAGACATTACGATTCTCCGACGACGATGGAAAGGAAACACTATCAAGATTTTAAAACAAAGTTCAGGGATCATGGTCACTTTAGATACGCAGCCACGGAGGACTTAACGGGTTGCCGGGGCTCCGACTCGAGTTGCAGGAGTAGGAACGGGGTGGTTTTTAGTCAGTAAGAGTATGAAACTCCCTCCCGCCTCACCTAAGCGGGAGAAGTTACTCGATGATATCCACCATTGAAAAATGGGCACTTTGGTATGGAAATTGGAAGTTCAACCAACAGAAATGAAATGTCATTTATTCATAAGTCATCCTGAAATTAACAACTACCTAAATGAACTGAACTGGAATGAGCTTTTCCGGGATGCAGATGATGTGAGTGGCATGGTGGTAATTTTTTACAAGTGTCTGCGTGATGCTATTGGGAAATTTGTACCTGATCGAAAGCCGAACAATGGCCGCTATCCACCGTGGTTTGATAAAGTATTAATACGATCATTAAGTGAGAAAAATGGGCTTAGGTTGCGTTACAAGAAGTACAAGAATCCTTTGGATAGGATTGAACTGAAGCTGATTACAAAGCGGTGTGATAGGTTAGCCACGAATTTATATAATGAATATATTGATAGAATGGAAACAAATATAAAAAACAATCCTAAACGTCTCTGGAGTTACATAAAAGCGAAACGCGGGGGTACTAGTGGCTATCCTGTGACAATGAGTGATTGAAAGGTTGTTACGTCTAACGGTTCTGAAATCTGTGACCTTTTTGCTAATTATTTCGCAAAAGTATACACGACTCCTCCTCCAAGCACTGCATAATAATAGTCAGAGCCTGAGTATCCCAGCGATTGACCGCGACAGCTTGTTAAAAAAATTAAAAACCGTAAATATCAGTAAGGGGCCCGGTCCAGATGGTATCCCACCTATTTTTATTTCTAAGTGTGCCAGTGCATTGGTGTTTCCCTTACTGATAATATATAATGCATCGCTGACTACCGGAATTTTTCCATCAGAATGGAAAACAGCTAAGGTAGTTCCCGTGCATAAAGCAGATAAAAAAGATACTGTGAGCAACTACAGGCCAATTTCAATTCTGTCTGCTTTCGCAAAGAATTTTGAATCCATTATGTGTCCGTATATTCAACAACACTTGGGATTATATCTTAGTGAGAATCAACACGGTTTTGTAGCATCTAGATCTACAGCCACTAATTTGGTGTCTTTCACGGAGTCACTGATACAGGCTGTGGACGGAGGCAAACAATTGGACGTTGTATATACCGACTTCAGTAAGGCATTCGATAAGATGCCTCATTCTGTACTGACTTACAAACTAGCAGCTTATGGTGTAACGGGGCCTTTATTGAATTGGTTCAG